CTGAGATGGTGCTGCACACGGCTCTGCAGGAGTGTGTACCATCTGCACCAGACAAGAGGTGGCACGGGGAGGCCCCCACTGCAGGGTGCCAACGATACAGTCGGCACCGCTATAGGACAGTTGTTTTGCAGCACATCCAGGGCTGTGTGAGCTGCCCTGCTCAGTACCGAGAGCGTACTCTCACTCTGCTCAGGCATGGGCATCAAGTCTGCAGACAGTCTCTCCTTCTTCCCCAGACCTACATACCTTATCTGGGGAAGATAACCGTATTAACACAGCGGGAGACCTCTCAGCTGCAAGAGAGCACTTGCTATCAGTATTTACAGAAGCAGCTAGGAAGTCAATCCCTAGGGTTCACTCACTGTCTCCTTCACCAGTACTTTAAGCGGAGCCGTCCCCATCCCCATATCCTTCATCAGAAAGGGGAGCTTACTATTTGGCATATGGGAATCCGCAGTCACCGCAGCGATGATCCTGCTCTTGCCATTGCTATAGATATAGATGAGTTTCTCCACACAGATCTCGTTCTCCAAGCTACTCTCCTGCCAGATCATACCGTAGCAGACATGGGAGCAGATATTCCTCCAGAATATTAGCTCCTGGGTATGACTCTCGCTACCACAGGAGCTATCGCACCTCTGAGAGACAGGGTAGATCACACTCTCATTCTCTCTCGTGCTGCTGCCATTCATCTTCTTACAGACACCATTCCCCACCTGCCTCCACTTGTCAAAGGCCGCAGTCACCGAGACCTCCTCCTAGCACCCCCTCAGTGTCAATTCTTTCGGAATCTGAAGAGGGTCAAATCTCAGACACAGATGAACAGACACCTGCAGCTTCCCCAGAGGATATCCAGTCGTCTTCTCCCAGTGATGCAGTTTTTGTAGCAGACTCTTCGCCACCGGATGATACCTGAGAATTTCAAGACTTTTTTCAAGAGTGGCAAAATCGCAGGAGGTCCAATTAGCGGAGGTCCAGGTGAAACAGTATAAGCTGTTAACGAATTTGCACCCTAGACAACAATCTAGGGTGGCATTACCGCTAGATGAGGCAATTCTGGAGCCAGCTGCAGAAATCTGGAGCACACCGGCCTCCACTACTCCATCATGTAAGCAAGCCGAGAAGAGAGATTTCATATCATCGAAGGGCTCTGAGTTTTTTACCCATCCCCAACCCAGTTCATTAGTGGTGGATGTGGGCTTTTTGCTCTTTGCAGAGCTACAAGTAAGGAACTCAGCAGCGGACAAAGATGCAAAGAGACTAGACATATTTGGATGAAAAGTATACTCATCCTCCACACTTCTCCTCTGTATTGCAAATTACGCAGCACTACTTTCTAATCATAGCTTCTATAACATCGTGAAATTAACAAATTGCTCAAAGAATTTCTGAGACCAATAAGGTACTCCTTCGATCAATACTATGGGAGGGTTACTCATGTGCCAGGGCAGGTTTGCAGATTGCCATGGATGTGGCCGACACAGCGGCGTGAACAGTAGCCATGGCAGTGTCCAGGAGAGGAGCTTCATGGCTCATGACAGCTGTTGTACCTAAAGAGCTGCAATCCAAGGTCAAGGACCTTCCATTTGACAGGATTAAACTGTTCGCAGAGAAGACGGATGAGGTGCTCCACACGGGGAAAGATTCACGGGCCACCTTACGCATGCTTGGGATGTATGTTCCACCTTTCCACCTGTAAGGCAGAAATGGATATTTAAATGAGAAATGTAAAATTATAAATGCAAATGTAAGATCTTGATGTAGATTCACCCTGTAAACATCTGTATAAGTGCTAAAGGACGGAGGTTATCCTTGTATACATATGTCAATGTCAATTCGATTATTGAAATCTTTATAAACTTAAAAATATGCAAGTTTGGCAATGTCTCAAAATGGAGTCTGAAACTCCATTTTGAATTTAGAACTCTTTCTGGTAGCATCCATTTGAGTTATGCATTCTATCAAGTTCACAGGTAGCTGTTAGAGTTTGAAAATAGCAACTCACCTACCTGTTGGAATTTACATAATCTATGAATATTCACAAGCATCCTGTTCTACCAATCAGTTTAAAACATGCCGTAAGAGCATCCTTTAGTGTCCAATCATTTTAAACCTTTGGGTTCATGAATATGTATGAGCCAAAACTGTAAAAGCTTCTGTCACGCAGCAGTTACCGGTTGCGTCGGGGCATCGGGCTTAGGGATAGGTTAGGTTCTAGAGAGAGAGAGATTCTTCAAGTCTTGTCCTAGGTCTGATAGAATGAGAAAGGTCGTGTAAAGCTATTTCTTTAGAGAACCTGACGGAAGGTCAGTTCTCTCATTTAGGTTAGGTTAAGGTAGTTTAGCTTTTAGATAGTATAGCTCCCGTCATCGAGCTTTACATGACCGTTCTCATTCTATTTCTTTAGAGAACCTGACGGAAGGTCAGTTCTCTCATTTAGGTTAGGTTAAGGTAGTTTAGCTTTTAGATAGTATAGCTCCCGTCATCGTGTTTGTACGGCAGGTTGCGTTGGTCCACGCATGCCGGCCGTCTTCGTGACTGTCCATCGGGCGCATCGGGATTAGTTTAAGGTTTTATTTTTAGGTTAGGTTTAGGATAGATAGGATCCAGAGTTGTCCATCGCCTGATCCAGTCGCACCGAAGCGTGAGAAGAGGCGTCGAGGACCAGAAATTCTGTGGAAGGCGAATCGATCTCAACTTCTGCTTCGAGGGATCGCCTTGGCTGTTCCTCTCCTGCGGCTAGCAAATAGCCAAAGGATCGTAGGTCGCCAAGCGCCAGATCAGCCGGCGAGGGACACCTGGCAGGTCCTCCTCAAAGGCTTCCAATTAGCCCTAGGGTCGTAGGTCGCCAGCATCCATCCATCGTCTTCGCCGTAGACTCTGTTGTAGGTATAGGGACCTTGAGGTACTTCCCCTCCTGGTCCATTTAGTGTAAGAGGGGACTGCCCCCTTGAGTTATTTTGAAGTATTGTTTTGTTAAATTTATTTGTGCAACAATATAGTCTGGTGGTTTTCAGGTCTTCGATCTCAACTCCTGCTTCGAGGGATCACCTTGGCTGTTCCTCTCCTGCGACTAGCAAATAGCCAAAGGATCGTAGGTCGCCAAGCACCGGATCAGCCGACGAGGGACACCTGGCAGGTCCTCCCCAAAGGCTTCCAATTAGCCCTAGGGTCGTAGGTCACCAGCATCCATCAATCGTCTTTGTCGTAGACTCTGTAGTAGGTATAGGGACCTTGAGGGACTTCCCCTCCTGGTCCACTTAGTGTAAGAGGGGACTTCCCCCTTGGGTTAATTTGAGGTATTGTTTTGTTAAATTTATTTTTGTAACAATATAGTCTGGTGGTTTTCAGTTTAAAACCAAGTCTTAAGTTTTTATTTAACGCGCCACCTTAATCTAATATCTCACTCTCCGGTGATCAGATACGGCGAGAGGGTCGCTACCTTAAATACCATCCTTTGTGGATTGGTCGGGTTATAAAATTAACTCTTGGGAGAAGTGTCCTTAAAGACCTTCTTCAATTCTGTTGACATACAGCTAACACACCGAAGGCGTTATTTTTCCATTCCAAAGATGTTACAATTGCAACTTTCGTAGACAACAAAACCATCCATATGACCAAAGCCACTCCAAACAGAGGACACAGCGCAGACGTCCTCAGCCATCTAGGGCGAACAGCGCAGTGACACCCAAAGAGCAGGGTTTGACTCCCAGGTCGGGGGCACGCCGAACACTCCTGTTGTGGTCAGAGATTCCAATCCCATATTCCACCACCAACTGCGATCCTGTTACCACCAATGGGTCGCCATAACATCAGATAGATGGGTATTGGAGGTGATAAAATCCGGACTCACCATTCCATTCACATCCCTTTCCCCCTACCACTCCACCTACCCCATCCCTTTTCAGGGACCCATCTCACGAGAATCTCTTACGACAAGAGGCCTATCACCTGTTATCCATCAGCTCAATAGAAACGGTCCCAGAGTGCTTCAAGGGAAAAGGGTTCTATTCACAGTACTTCCTAATGCAGAAGAAAACGGGGCTGGAGACCCATTCTTGATCTATGCCGGTTAAATTGTTATCTTCGAAAACAGTGATTCAGAATGGTAACTCTAACAACGATGACTGGTCCGCAGCCCTCGACCTGCAAGATGCCTATTTTCATATAGCCATACATCCTGTGCACAGACAATTCTTGCGCTTTGTCATAAACACTGAGCACTTTCAGTACTGTGTCCTTCAGTTCGGGCTGGCTTCGGCTCCGAGTATTTTCAAAGACCCTCGCTGTTGTTGCCGCTCTCCTTCGTTGTCTCTGAGTCATCATATTTCCTTATCTGAACGACTGTCTGATAAAGGGCACATCACAAGAAGAGACGATGCAGATGCTCACAATGGTCAGACAAGCGTTCAACTCTCTTGGACTGATAGTAAACCAACAAAAGTCAATGCTAATTCTAACGCAAAATATAAAGTTCATAGGGGCAGTTCTCGACTCCCGTGCGGCAAAAGCATACCTAGCCATGGACAGATTCCAGGCAATAAAAGGCCTGGTCAATCTACTCGCCAAGACCCCAACAGTCTCAGTGCATACCTGCCTATGTCTGCTGGGCCACGTGGCCACGGCCACCTTTGTCATCCCGCATGCATGCCTCCATCTGAGAAATCTGCAGCATTGGCTGTCAACTGTGTATGTCCCTGCAAGACATGACATCCACAAGTTTAGTTTCTCCTCCATCCGATGTCCACATGTCCCTGTGATGGTGGTTGAATGCATCAAACATCTTGACGGGAGTACCATTTCACCAGTCTCAACCATCCATTCAGTTAACATCAGATGCTTCACTCATCAGATGGGGCACTCTCATGGGCGAGGAACGCATACAGGGACGGTGGTCTCTCACAGAGAGACATCTTCACATCAACCAATTAGAGCTGCAAGCGATCTTTCTAGCATGCAGATATTTCCTCCCACACTTAAAAGACAAGACAGTCAGGGTGCTGACAGACAACATAGCGGCAATGTATTACAGGCAGGGAGGAGCAAGATCATGCTCCCTATGCGCCGAAGCGGTACGGTGCTGAAATTGGTACATACAGCACAACATCACCATAACAGCATCCTACATACCTGGCACAGCCAATGTCATTGCCGACTCCCTCAGCAGGCGCTTCCCCATAGACCACGAGTGGGGAAATAGGACAGGATGTGCTTCAGAAGATTTTCCACAGATGGGGAACTCCCCTAGTGGATCTGTTTGCAACAATCACCAACAAGAAGTGTCGCCTGTTTTGCTCCAGAGCAGGGGTCGGCAAGGGATCTCTCGGCGACGCATTATTAACCACTTGGAAAAGGGCACTCTTGTACGCTTTTCCCCCAACAGTCCTCATTCCCAGAACACTGGAGAAAATCAGAACGGAAGCAGCAACTGTACTCCTAATAGCACCAGCTTGGCCCAGACAAGCTTCGTATCTGTTCTTACACAGAGGCTGTGTCTACACTGGCGCGATCTGGTGCCAAAGCAGCTGCTCTTGAGCAAAAAACTTGCTGCCTGTCTACACTGGCTGCATGTTTTTGCGCAAGTAAACTGACGTTCTAATGTATAAAATCAGGGTTTCTTGCACAAGAACTCTGATGCTCCCGCTCAGGAATAAGCCCTCTTGCGCAAGAGCTCTTCCAGAAGAGGACAGTGTAGACAGGCAACATGAATTTCTTGCGCAATAAAGCCCTATGGTTAAAATGGCCATCAGAGCTTTCTTGCGCAAGAGAGCACCTACATTGGCATGGATGCTCTTGCGCAAAAGCACATGCCAGTGTAGATGCTCTCTTCTGGAAGAGTTTTTCCAGAAGAACTCTTCCGCAAATGTGTTTTTGCGTGAGAACGTGCCAGTGTAGACGTAGCCAGAATGTCACTACGGCCACCATGGCCTCTGTCCTCATGCCGGGATCTCCTCTCTCAAGAACGGGGATCTCTCCTACATCCCAAACTAGAAGCATTGCACCTGATGGCGTGGCTCCTGACTGGCTTAGACAAGATGAAAAACTCTGTTCTGAACAGGTCAAGTCCATACTGATACATAGCAGGAAAGCCTCTACGTGCAATACTTACCTGGCTAAATGGTGCAGATACTCCTGTTGGTGCCTTCATAATAACATCCAATCACTGTTTTCTCCTTTACACCAAACCCTCGAATACATTCTTTACTTGTAAAATTTGAAGCTTTCGCTGGTGTCCCTCAGAATTTATTTGGCAGCCATTAGTGCTTTCCATTACCTGATACAGGGTTTTTCGGTGTTTTCTCACCCAACTATTAAACGATTTCTCAAAGGCCTGGTCAATATAAGACCACCCCCACCATCCTGGAACCTTGACTTAGTACTGGATACGATTATGTATCCCCCATTTGAACCACTAGCATCTGTCCCCTTGCAGATACTAACTATGAAGACCATCTTCTTACTCACAATTACATCAGCACGTAGAGTCAGCAAGCTAGGGGCGATAATGGCAAATCCCCCTTTCACTTTTTTCTCGAAAGAGTTGGTGATGTTACGATTACATCCAGTGTTCATTCCCAAAGTCTCATAGTCGTTTCACATCAACTTTTCTCGAAAGAGTTGGTGATGTTACGATTACATCCAGTGTTCATTCCCAAAGTCTCATAGTCGAGCACACTCAACGAGCCGATCGTCCTTCCCTCATTTTACCCTAACCCGCATGCCTCGAATAAGGAGGCCCTGCTACATATGCTTGATGCTTTTACATAGACAGAACCTGTCAGTGGAGGCGAACAGATAGACTTTTGGTATCAACAGCTCAGCAATCTACGGGCACTGCACTCTCCAGTCAACACATTGCCAAACTTACTACCCTGTGTATAACCACATGCCATTCTGTTCAGGACAGACCTCTGTCTTCTCAACCACGAGCACACTTGACCAGGGCAGTGGCGACATCTACGGCCTTTGCCGGGGGGTTCCACTAGCAGATATTTGTAGGGCAGCCACATGGGCTTCCAGCACTTCATTCATGAGACTTACGCTATAGTGCAAAGATGGGCGGCGGATCACGCAGTGGCTTCCGCAGTGCTATCTACTGTGAAAACTAATTGACCCGGAGTGCTTCTTGTTCCAGCTACTGCTGTACAGTCACCTAGAGTGGTGCACCTAAGGGGCCACTTGAAGAAATTACTCACCTGGTGTAGTAACAATGATTCTTTGAGATGTTCCTCATGGGTGCTCCACGTCCCATCCTCCTCCCCGCTCTGGGTTTTTTCTCTTTCTTGTTTCAGAGACCCAGCGGTGAGAGGAACTGGCGAGGGGAGCTGAACTGCGCACATTAGAAAGGGTGCGACTGCCCTGCGGCGCAGGGAGCATGCGCGGTTTGGCCAGATATGTCTCTGAAATCTTCTGACCAGTGGTGCTGGGATGGACCCAACACCTAGAATGGAGTACCCACAGGGCACATCTTGAAGAACCATCATTACTACACATACCCACAGGGTACATCTTGAAGAACCATCATTACTACACCAGGTGATTTAGTAACTTCATTTAAAAAAAACCCAGTTTTTAATGGAGGGGGGGAAGGATGAATCTTTTTGTTACTGGGTTATGTCGCTATCCTTCTCTTCCAACATAGCTGATTGTTTGTTTCTTTTTTTTTCTATGCATCTGGCCCCATGCATTTGTCATCAATTGACTGTAGTATTGAACTGTTATGTATGTCACCTACATAACGAATAGTGGCACTGGCTACTGAATGTATTCTTGCTATAAAATGAGGAAGGGGTGCCTGGTAGCTATTACTGGACAAAGCCAAGCCACTTACCTCTTCTGCCTTGCTCTTTTTTTCTCCTTCACTTTCTCTAACTTCCTTTGTAAGAAGACGAACAGCAATCATAATTGTCTTCAATTGTAAGAAGACAATTAAAAAGTTACTTCTGTTACAGTTCCAGGGATGAGCCATTTTATTCAATCTGCACCCAGTAAGCAACTCGTTTACAATGGCAAAATCCTGTCTTCTGCAATGAGACCTTACTTGGCATTCCTTGTTTACTCGTTCTCTTTCAATGAGACCTCCCTTGGCATTCCTTGTTTACTCGTTCTCTTTCGCACAGGAATTTTTTTAAGGTTCATTATGAACTGGATGCCTCCTTGCTTACCTGTACCAGTACATACAAAAATATATAGATTTAAGAGCATAACATACAAGGATGATGGACAGAAATGTTGTCTAATACGGCTCAGAACTTGAGTGATCATAGGCTAGGAAATTAACAGGCTCCTACATTTGTTACATTTGAACTAAAAATGTAGCCCATCTGGTGCTATTTTTGTAAAGAGAATTTGAGAGCTAAAACTAAACACGAAGTCCACAAACCAGGTTGTTTGATGTAAGGGACAAAAATGTACATGATCTTGAAAAACAGTCCTGCTCCAGCCAACTGTTATAGTAATAGCAGCGTGATTTGACCCTTATGCACAAGTGCAAACTCTGGTCTCCCAAATGCCGTCTGGAATTTGTGCAGCAGAATGTCAGCTTGTAGCAAGGGCTGTGCCTTAAATATTTGTTCAACAGCCTCTTTGGTAGTCTGTGGGGCATAAGATTGCCAATTTTGGTTGAGGGGAATTCCTGGAGGTTTCATCACGTGCCATCTGTAATTAAAGATTAAACTTTTATTTGCTAGAGACTCCAGAACAATACTGGAGGGCTGGCAACTTGAGTTGGGACACCAATAAATGAAAAATGAAGAAGAGGAAGGAAAGGGAGAATGAAGGAGATGATAATGCAGCCTACATCTTGGAGGGGCGCAGGTGGAATTTAAAAGAAAATACTAGCTTATCCCTTAACCGAAACAGGCTACACTGATTTCTAGACAAACTTAGATAATATCTATGCTATGAACTAGAAGTGTGATTCCCAGTTCTCATAGATCTACTTGAGGGCTACTACTGTGATAGCTAGAGCATCTAAAAGTCGTAGTATAGCCATGGTAGCATGTCTGAGGCAAGTGGTAATGTGGGCTAGCTGCCCTGAGTAAAAAGTCCACTTGCAACATGGGTATGAGTAAACTTAGTATAGCTACTCTGTGATGCTGCTTGCCATGGTCTATCCAAGATAGGAGTTATTCCACCAGCTTAGGGCCTCTTGGCACAGGACATGACAATTTCCTAGTTACTTCCCAGTCTTGCACAAAAGTAATGTGATCTAGTCAGTTCTTAAGAACTAGCTAAAAAAGCACTGAAGCTGGCATGCCCAAAGTATGACCTGAAGCTGCCTCTTTAGCCCTGATACAGCTAAAGAGAAATATGAAGAGGATGTGTCCTGACATGCATGTCTCCATCTTGATCAGAGTAGGCTTTCATAGTGTCAAGATCATGCACTATCCTGCCAATAGGCAAAACAGCTTTGACCGAGAAGTAGTGCATGTTGAGGCATAGTGTTGCTTATGCCCCACTACACTATATGGAAGATTATCCTGGTGAGTAGAATCACTTTGATTAGACCTCTTGGGGATAGTAGCAGCCTTTTGACAGGTGAGAAATTGCTAGTGAGTTTGCTAGCTGTTCAGCATCTGTGTGTTGCAATGTGTTGAAGGTGAAATCATTATTATTTTACTATATAACAGAAATTGGTTTCCATTCCTAGTCTTGGGTACCATTTACAGCAGAAAAACTGATGTTTAATCTTAGG